ACCCCGCCCCCGCCTCGCCCGAGCTCGAAACTTCCCCAATAAAACGAAACATCTTCCCGAATAATACGTTACTTTTTCATTGCTGACATTTTATTTACACTCCCTAAAAATATACTTTTGACGGACCATATTGCATGAAACATTATTCAAATTCGTAGCATATTTAGTTGACAAATTAGTAATTGTTAATTACGATATTTACACTGAATTTGCAACATATTCTATTTAATTCCACCTACACACAGGATTAACTACAAATTCTAATACTGCATAAATAATAAAAGAAAGTTAGTCAGCATGATCAGAGAAGAATGACTAAGTTCGTCATAAGTAAATATGTCATTCAAAGCTGGCCGTCATTGTCGCCGCCGCGCCGCGCCCCTGCCGTGACGAATGCGTTTTTTGACAACGAAAACAAACATGTGCACTCATAGTTTTTTTTTACCTCTGCCCACCCCTCAAAGGATACGGGCGAGGAAATACCTAGTTAAATAACATATTTAATGTCACTAACGATCTACGCGGTGCCTACCATTTGCTCCTTTAAATTAATACATATATAATATTGAATGCTAGTACGTCACTTATTTCTTTTTGTTGTTTTCAAATACGTTTACAACATTTTTCTCTATATAAAAAGCATTATGTATTAGTAGTTCCTTTATTTCTTCAATGTTTAACCGAGCACAGAGTAGAGATAATGGTGGGCAATTTGTAGAGCATCGTTACTGAAGCAATAGTCTAGCAGCCCGGCTGCGGCGAGTCTACGCTCAATTGATTGATCTCAACACCGACTTATATTGAAAAGCTTTTAAATTTATTACTCTCTCAAATAAATTACAAGCGACACAGCTGTTTACACAGCTATTCTTCTAATATTGTTAATATCACGCAATTTTTCTCGTTTTTTGAAACTTCGAAACGTTACAAAATTAGGGCAAACTTTGATATTTTAGTCAAATTCAAATGAAAATATGACCTTAAATAAACTTTTCATATGTATGTAAATATGATGCTTACTATAGTAACAATTAAGCTCATTCAAGTTAGAAAAATCCTATAACATTCTTTACTTTAATTATTTAGGTATAGGTACACTAATTATTATTTTCCATCGTCAACGAAATGTAGAGTGTACTCAGAAGTATGATGGATCGAGTACAATGTGAGAACTGTGTGAGAACCAGTGGTAGGCGTGGGTCCGGAATGACGGCGTGACGTGTGGGGGCGTGCGGGACATCGCCAGTGTTTGCCCGCGGAGAATGCCGCGTAATTGTTCCCCACCACCCAAACCATTCTATATAAAATATATTGAACAAAAAAATATTATTTGATTTTTGTATACAGACTAAAAGAATTTAAATTAAAGACTGAAGTAAAAGTGGCTTTTGTTTCTCTTGTTAACCTTACCTTTTAAGTAATCCAGTAAGACCATAGACAATGACCAAATATATTTGACACGTCATAACCGCGTGTACTTATTTTATTCCTGATCATACTGTTTTCTTTAATATTAAAGGCCATTTTTTAACGAGCGCGCGAGACAAGGCAGCGGCCACAAATCTACAGCCAACACGACATTTTAACGATCCGCGATAACTATTTATATTCTGTAATTAATCTCCCGCGGAATCTGCATTCGTAAAACGTCATAAGCAGGGGTGTCACGCAGAATTTTGATGCGCTTAATTTCACTAAATTATTTTAATGACCCATATCATTCGCAAACATAATTTAGACTATTTAAATTGGAAAATAAGAAAAGGTTAAATTCTCCCTGTTGCTTATTAAATGAACATATTTTTTTGCACACTAACACAAGCATACACCATAATATGATTTTCCAGTAGTAAGCTACATTCAATATTTTGCAAAAAAATTATCACGATTTAGTGACCTAAATAATAATATTTTTAAGACTGTTCTTGGTTTGTTTAACGCAGGATACATCGTGAAATAATGTTATTTAGTAGGTACATATTCGGAATGCCGACTTAATAATCCATAGTTAATTGAGTACTTATCGTAAGTAGCAGTATCAACCCTATCATTAAACAGTTTGAGGTGAGAGGCAAGGCTGCGCCTGCGCACCGCGAGCCCACGCGCACCATTGTCCCCTCCCACGTGAACGCGACACGGCCTCCATCCGCCCCGCTGAATAAATTTAGACTTTATCACCTACAGAATACGGCCACAGTATCCGTTACAAATGTGTTGTCCAGTAAACAGACCATAAATTATTCTCTCAGTTGTGTCGTTGCAATTTGTGTCATATGGCATTGATGTAATAGTCTTTTTAAAGAGTAAATAATTTGTCGGGTAATGTAAACTGAAGCAGACAGTATTCGCGTCCTGTCGGAGCGGAGACCAACATAAACATGACGGTAAATAAATCATGAACGACGCGACGTGTTGTGTGACTGCGCTTTTTGGTTTCGATTTTTACGGCATACGCATGTATACCGAGTTAGAAACACAATTACACTGGGTGTTACACACGACACAATGCTACGTACTCAAAGGACTTGGGATTTATATGTAATTTTATAATACTTGAAAGTATAAAGACGATATCATGTGAGAAGTCAGGTTGCGATATATTATTCTTTTGAATCTGCAAGAGACGCCCACGATTTGTGAAACCAAAGTCGTCTTTTGATTTTATCTTCAATGCCAGATGTTCATGCTACATTTAAATCCATGTAATAATTAAAACAAATTAATAAAACCCTTACCTTTTAGTAATTACTTACTTAGACTAAGAACTTTTACGAAATATCTGTTCTATTTCTTTTTGTATTCTATAATTTGTTTTTATTGCTCTCAGTTTTTACTTATCCAATGAACACATGATGCATCTGAGTGACTGTTACGATCACTGTAAGTCGTCAAACGGAAGTTCACAGCAAATCATACAAATAACTATCGTAATTACTTCCGTCGGAGCCATAAATAACCGCACACAAACAAACGAACCCCGCAGCCGTCCGCAGTCGCGGCATACGGCACAGTTTCAGCCCCAAAGCAATACATTTTTTGTGGCCTCGCACCGGGACACCGTGACGTAGATTTGCCGATCTCCATCAACAAATGCCACCCGCACTCTGAACTGATCAAACGGATAAAACTTATGCACACTTTTAATCGATGTTTTTGACTTTTCTTATGCTTTTTCTCGTCATCAAAACATCCTTTCGTTTGAAAGACTTTTGATGAGTAGTGACTTTGTAAAAAGTCAAGATTATCAAATTCAGAAGTGCTGTGTCGTAAATGAATCAAAAACAATTTTCTAAATAATTTTATATGACAGCCCTGAAAACTTTCACATCAATGCTTATGTTTTCAATGTAAATTTTTGATGGCAACCATAACAAAAAACCTTAAAATTGTCAAATTATCAATAATAAAATTTTTCACAAATGTTAGTTAAAAGTAAAACGAGTCTTTTTTACTTTTTTCTAAGCTTTTGTTGGCGACACAAAATGTCGGTCGTAAGATGTAGACGTCCGATAGTGAATGCAAAACCGGATTGATAGTGCGACGTAGTGCGTTCCGGCGACAGTTATTGCCGTCCGGGGCAAGAGTTATAGAGGGTGCTGTGTGCGAACTTCTTAAAACTTATTTTATTGGCACCACTCCAACGCAGTATAACTCAAAAGGAAGCAAACTACGCTGATATTCATTCGACTCAGCCGAAAAACATCATAATTTTCTCAGATAACGGCATACGTCGCTCGCATTTAAAATGTTTGCATACGCAAATATTTCCCAAATACTCGTATTCCTGTCTCTTTTAAGTGGTTTTGAAATTAAGTATACTCATCCCGCACTAGGATACTCGTTTTAAAGTTGAATATTTTCATGCTACGTTTTAAACATTTTTTAAATTGTTAATATTTAGTTTAAAGGAGAAAATTATGAATAT